AAGCCTTTAACGAATCAGCCCTGTTTTCTCGGTCAGTCTTTGTTCTGTGACTGTTAAGAAGCGTAACGTTGTTTAAAGTTCGCCACCGAAGAGAAATGGATCTGTTACAAAGCGACCCTGTCAAACCTTTGTGGCCTCACATCTTATCAATGATCCTCATCTGCCATGAAAATATTTGTTTTCAGGGACATTCGTCAGACAAATGAGCTCATTACTTGTAAAAACCCGGTTTCTCATCAGCAACAACAACAAAGCAACTTCCTTGAATTCACTATGATCATATATGTAATTGTAATAAGACTGAGTGGAGTCTGTAATCACAGGCGTGATGAAAAAGTCGGACGACCGCGCAGAGGAAGTCCGATTTGTTTATCATGTGTACGATTTCAGACTGAATTGGACAAAGTCTTCTTACCAATTAATCATGAAAATTACAATTTCTGAGAAAAGAAATACAGCCAGGTTACGAAAGAAAAGAAAGAAAATTTGCATTAAAAGACTTAGAAAGGAGGCGTAAATTGTTTGATTGGTTGATTTAAACTGCCGCTTTGAATGTGATTAACTTATTGAACTGTTCGATAACAAACTTTTTGGATAACAAACTGTCCGATAACGACTTGGCAAGTGAATTAGTGGATAATGGGAGTTTTTTAAACCAATTACAATCGAATAAATTGCAACTTTATGATTGATTATCGTAATAGGGTCAAGGGGAATCCAATTCGGTCTGTAATCATACCGAGTGATTAAAAATTTCCGTAAACAACAATTACATTTTGGACAAACATCTCCGGTAGAGACAACGTGAAAAAGGAAAAAATTACTCCATTTTTGAAATTCACCAGTTTTCTTTTTTCAAGATAAGTGGTTGTTGCTATGGTTATTGCAATCAATTCTGTGATTGGTGGATTTAGCTGAGTGGACTTAGTATAATGCTTCTTCAATTGCAACTGTCCGATTATAGGTGTCCGATTACAGCCAAATGTCAGATTACACTGTCCGATTTCAGCTACACAGAATAATTGTAGAAAAATAAAGCAGTTAATGCAAGGAAGACTTCGATTTAAAAATTAATTTCTGCCTTTAATTAGAATTTTAAAAATGGCTGCATTTGTTTGCCGTCTCATACGGCACCACACCTCAACTTCAGCATAACGTATAAAAGAAGCGTTGAGTTCCAAATGCAAATTAAAATAATTTGCCGTCGCGGTTACGGTTCGCAGACGACGCAAATCGTTGTGAATTCACGTTGTTGTTTTGCATAGGACGGCTAAGAAATGTAAAAAGTTTTAAAATGCGCGTGCTGAGCTATTGTTCCGCCAATTAGATCTTTTGCTTTTCCATGTCCTCGTTGCCGTCCCCGTCGTGGTTTGCTTAAGGTCCCTATTATTTTTGCCGTTTCACTTTCAAAGTAATAGCCAAGAGGGGATACCCAAAACAGAAGTGATCTGGATACTCAAAACCTCGGGATACCCTAAAAAACTGTGAAAGCGCAAGTTTCAGAATGTTTGGGAAACTTAGGTACTCGGGTTTTGTTATCTAAAAGTATTTAGTCACTCTGGAGAAGTAAGCTCTGATAGGAAAGCCTTATGAATGCTTTTCCGATTTTTATGTTTGCATATCACGTTGTGAATAATCGTAATTGCAGAAACTGATTGTTTTCCCAATTACGTAATTAGGCAAATATATTTATTTCATTGCTGATGTTATAGGATAATCGCGATGTAAGAGTTCGTAGTTTTCCAGTGGCCGTAATTTGCATAGGTAATAAATTTGACCTCGTCCACTTTTTGTTAAAGCACCAAAGTCTTCCGTAAGAAGATAAGTCAGCCTATAACGCTGAGAGCTCACGAAGAAAAACAGTGTATTTCCGGTGAGGAACAGAACGTTACTTGACTGATTTACTATAATCTTGTCATAGTGTTATTGATCAGATAACAATAATACAATAAATACAAATATACAATAAACCCAAACAACTTTGGTTAAAAATCTAGAGATTTTTCTGGTGCTATTTAACAAACTCATGGTGTATGCCTGCATAAAAGTGGGAAAAAGAGGATTACATAGAGAATAATGCGTGGGCGCGCGTGGATATGGAATTTCTCTTCGAGTGTTTAACTACGTAGCTCACGAGTGAGCGCAGCGAATGGGTGAGATGTCGATTTGAACACGAGAAGAGAAATTTCATATCCACAAACAACCATGTATTATTTTGTTTCTCATATAAACTCGATAAACCCTTTACTGACAAGAAAAATCAACTTTATTCATCAATGATATTTGATATTCTAAAAGATCAAAAACGTGTAGAATCGTATCGTGTGGTTCTTACATTAATCAAGATGTATTGAAAGTTGTTGATCTCTTCCGTGAAACAAAACACTTAAAAATCATGGTATAGGTTGGCCTCATTACTGAGGGAAGTTTAGGAATGTAGGAAAAATTGTTATCTGATTTTCATTGTTTTTGTCGTTTCACTTTCAAAAGTGTCAGCTGCGAGGTCAATTTTATCGGTCAATAATTTTATCAGTGTACTTTTTTTTTTTAACTTTAGTTTTAACTTTACGGTCACATATGAAATAAGTAACTTCTCTATCGCAAATTCATTTTTTTTTTTTTAAGTCCTGTCCTGTCCTGTGACTATTAAGTCATGTTATGTTGTGCAAAAATCGCCACCGGATGAAATAAATTCGTCACAAAGCCGGAGTTCGTCAAACCTCTGTGACCCCACAGCTTGTTCATCATTCTTATCAGCTAAGGATAAATTCGTTTTCAGTGACATTCATCTGATAAGTAAGCTCGTTACTTGGTAATATCTTGCTACAACAATATTTTCAAGTGTTTCATGCCATATAGCGGAAAGTCAAGAAATCTTCCAGACAGTTGCGGTTAAAGGTTCTGTCTCCTGTTAGCCTAAGAATTGAAACGCTTAAGATCAAGTCTCTGTAAGAATCAAACATCTTGGGAAATGAAAATTTTCAACCCCCCTTCAAATTTTACATGCAGTTAGGCACTCAGGGGATGCACAAAATGCCCTTTTTAAAGGCCGCAGCACTCTTGTTGCTATAGTAACAACGACTTCTTGTTCGAGGCCTGGGGCCTGATTTTCATACAAAAACGTCGCAAGAAAAAAAAAAGTGAAATGTTTATTTCTCTATCTTAAGCTAAATAAAACATTAAAAATTGGCACTTCTACCATACATAGTAACATCATTTGTCTTCACATTGATTCATTCAATTTTCCCTGGGAGTGAATGTGAACACACCAATAGATTATTCATCTCGGTACAGTTTCGGTCATTTTTGTTGTCGGGTAAAACAGGGAAAACTTTCATCTGAATTTCTTCAAAAGTACACCGATTCTGGAACCGAAACTAACCACCTAGCTGGTTATAATATTCTTGTTTTTAAATATGTAAAAATCTCTGCGGGTCTGACTCCACTTTTTATAGGGGCAATTCGCAAAAAAAGCTCAAAAATCAGATATTGCATAATTTGGCGATGTTTACACCTAATGTTCTTAACAACAAACGTTTCAGACAAATGAAACGTGCGAGGCTTTGAAAGAATGTTATCTTATGAGCAATATCCCGAAGAGAAATCTCGCCTCTGTTTGTCATCTTTTAAAAAAATTGACTAACCTTCGTGGAGGACAACTCGACGTAACTACAAACATAAACTTCAAATCGTGTACATATCATCCACCTGCACCTTCTTCCATGGGAATTTGAGCAATCTGAAATTCTCTGAAGATACACTGTTATACTTGTATGTTATTTGAAACATGTTGAAGTCGGTTGATCTACACGAAACTATCCTCACACCGGTCAGTTGTCATAAACACCTTATCACGATGGCGTGACGCTGTATTTCTCCATGAAGTTTCCATCGGTCGCCCCAAAGAAGACGAGAAATGGACATTTTGGTCGTGACAACGTATATGTTCATGACAAATGACGGGTGTGAGGATAACCAGCTCGGTGGGTAGTTTCGGTTCTAGAATCGGTGTACTTTTGGAGAAATTCTTTGCTAGTTTCTTTGCAGAATACTGGTAGTACAACATCATTGATTCCCCAAGATTATCAAATGCTCTGATGAAGGGCTAACGTTCGAAACGTCAGCTTCAGAAACTCATCACAATGGCCAATTTACATTGTCAACTCAGTTGGTAAAGAAACTATGCAAGGGGAAAGTTCTCACAGCAAAAGTTAAGATAAATGCTGTTTTGTTTATCTTTATCCTGTGACTTTAGAGTCATGTCATGTTGTGCAAAAATCACAACTGAAGTAAAATGAAGGGTGACAAACCGAGTTTGTCAAACCACTGTTACCTCAAATCCTGGCAATCATCCTTATCAGTTACGAATAGATTCGTTTTCAGCCATATACCTCAGATAAGTAAGTTCGTTAACCGGTGATAAACTGCTAGAACAACATTTTCAAATGTTCCCAGAACGTTGTAGTAAAAGGTATCAATCCTTCTTGTTTTTTTAAGAAAACCTGCAACCTTTCAAAACCACCTAATTGATGGCGCGACCCCACGACTTGCGATCGTTAATCAAACTCAAGCATGCGTCATTTTTTCTTTTACTTGATAAGAAGAATAAACGAAACAGCTGGATCAAAAATCATTTGGATAACAGATGACTTTCATAGAGTGACAGTCATACAGTCTGCTTCAAAGAATCTGTGCAGGTCAAATAAAATTTTAAAAGTTTCACCGAATGTGATCCGTTGATGTGTTCCAGTTGTACTTATCCACACCCTTCTTCAATTTTGTTTTAAAGCCGATATGGTGAATTCTAACACTTTCAGCTCGTTACAATAAGTTTCAAGGTGAAATCGACCAAGCTTGCTTTTGTAACTTAACATGTGTGTTCCGGTTTGTAGTGACTCATTATGAATCCAGATTATCGAATAACTTTGTATTGCGTTACTGAAAGAAATGTTTCCCTGATTACAGGAGAGGATGGCAATGGAAACCTAATAGCAGAAGCCATGATAGCTTTCATGACCATCGCTTTACTTGTTTCCCTGTTCTTGCGCAACTCAAATCGCATTCAGAAAGCCATTGAGATATGCAGGGAATGTTTGATTTTGCTAAATAGCACCGATCAAAACAGCAAAGACATCTTTATAGTTGTTTTCGGCAAGGTGCTGTTTATCTTATACATAAAGTCTGGAATTATGCTTAAAACACTTGGCGAAAACCTAAAGGCGAAGGAATATTTTGAGAGGGCCCTTGCTATAGCTACCGAAATTGGCGACAGAAGAGGAGAAGCATCATCTTATGGAAACCTAGGTACTGTGTTTTTGTCGCTCGGACAATACGCCAAGGCTAGAGAGTATCTCCAAAAGGCGCTTGTCATCAGAACTGAAATTGGTGACAGAAAAGGAGAGGCAACTGACTACGGTAACCTTGGTACTGTGTTTATGTTGCTCGGCCAATACAACAAGGCTCAAGAGTATCTCCAAAAGGCGCTTGTCATCAGAACTGAAATTGGTGACAGAGAAGGAGAGGCAACTGACTACGGAAATCTTGGTTATTTGTTTCAGTCGCTCGGGCAATACGACAAAGCTGAAGAGTATCTCCAAAGAGCGCTTGTCATCAAAACTGAAACTGGCGACAGAAATGGGAAAGGAGCATGTTATGGAAACCTAGGTACTGTGTTTCAGTCGCTCGGACAATACGCCAAGGCTAGAGAGTATCTCCAAAAGGCGCTTGTCATCAGAACTGAAATTGGTGACAGAAAAGGAGAGGCAACTGACTACAGTAACCTTGGTATTGTGTTTAAGTCGCTCGGCCAATACGACAAGGCTCAAGAGTATCTCCAAAAGGCGCTTGTCATCAGAACTGAAATTGGTGACAGAAAAGGAGAGGCAACTGACTACGGAAATCTTGGTTATTTGTTTCAGTCGCTCGGGCAATACGACAAAGCTGAAGAGTATCTCCAAAGAGCGCTTGTCATCAGAACTGAAATTGGTGACAGAAAAGGAGAGGCAACTGACTACGGTAACCTTGGTACTGTGTTTATGTCGCTCGGACAATACGCCAAGGCTAGAGAGTATCTCCAAAAGGCGCTTCTCATCAGAACTGAAATTGGTGACAGAAAAGGAGAGGCAACTGACTACGGTAACCTTGGTACTGTGTTTATGTCGCTCGGCCAATACGACAAGGCTCAAGAGTATCTTCAAAAGGCGCTTGTCATCAAAACTGAAATTGGCGACAGAAATGGGAAAGCAACATGTTATGGAAGCCTAGGTACTGTGTTTCTGTCGCTTGGACAATACGCCAAGGCTAGAGAGTATCTCCAAAAGGCGCTTGTCATCACAACTGAAATTGGTGACAGAGAAGGAGAGGCAACTGACTACGGAAATCTTGGTAATTTGTTTCAGTTGCTCGGGCAATACGACAAAGCTGAAGAGTATCTCCAAAGAGCGCTTGTCATCAAAACTGAAATTGGCGACAGAAATGGGAAAGCAACATGTTATGGAAGCCTAGGTGCTGTGTTTCTGTCGCTTGGACAATACGCCAAGGCTAGAGAGTATCTCCAAAAGGCGCTTGTCATCAGAACTGAAATTGGTGACAGAAAAGGAGAGGCAACTGACTACAGTAACCTTGGTATTGTGTTTATGTCGCTCGGCCAATACGACAAGGCTCAAGAGTATCTCCAAAAGGCGCTTGTCATCAAAACTGAAATTGGCGACAGAAAAGGGAAAGCAACATGCTATGGAAACCTAAGTGGTGTGTTTCAGTTGCTCGGACAATACGCCAAGGCTAGAGAGTATCTCCAAAAGGCGCTTGTCATCAGAACTGAAATTGGCGACAGAAAAGGGAAAGCATCATGTTATGGAAACCTAGGTACTGTGTTTCAGTCGCTCGGGCAATACGACAAGGCTAAAGAGTATCTCCAAAAAGCACTCGTCATCAGAACTGAAATTGGTGATAAAGAAGGGAAAGTAAAAGATCTTGCAAACTTTGGATGTGTGTGTGGAGCTATAGGAGATTATGAAGCCTCAGAAGTATGCTTAGAGAAAGCTTTATCGATGTCCAGAGATATTGGAGATAGAAGAGGAGAGTTCGAAATCCTTCAACATTACGCCATTTTGTATTTGTCGCAAGATAAAAAAGAAGAATCCCGTTCGTGTCTTTATCTCTGCATTGAAAAGTATGAGGAGCTGAGATATTTCTTAGGCGCCAATGATCAGTTCAAAACATCATTTCTGGAGCACTCAGGAATATTTCCCTACAAGCTGCTTTGTAGTTTGCTTTGTGACACCGGAAATGCTCGGGATGCTCTTTATGTTGAGGAGTTGGGTCGAGCTAGAGGCCTATCAGACTTAATGGTAGAGAAGTACTCGGTTGGAACGCACATCTCTGCTGATCCGCAATCTTGGTTTGGCCTTGAGAACATTTTTAAAAAGAAAAATAACTGTAGTTGTCTGTACATTTCGTATTTTGACAGTGATCTGCGTTTGTGGATCTTAAAGAAAAGTGGAGTCGTTCACTATAGAAGAATATCAGTAGAAGAGAATCTAGTTCAGGCTGGGTTGCCCAAAGATTTGCGTTTGAGTCAATTTTTGTATGGTAATTTCCGGAGTCTTGGTATTTTGCCCACTAAAGATTGTGAAGATCGGTCTTTAAATATGGTTAAATTGCAACCTCTCTCCCCCGCACAGAAGAGCTCAGCAAGATTGCGACTCGTCGAGGAGGACGAGGACGAGGATGAGGACGAGAAAGTGATTTCAGCTCTATTTTTGTGTTACAAAATGTTTATTGCTCCCGTTTATGATTTGCTTGAGGAGCCTGAAGTCGTTATCGTTCCTGACCGCAGTTTGTACAAAGTTCCCTTTGCTGCACTGAGTGAAAAGGAGGGAGCCCAATACCTCTCGGAGACTCATAGAATCCGTGTCATTCCTTCTTTGACAACACTCAAGATTATTCAAGATAGCCCAGAGGACTATCACAGCAACACTGGTGCCTTGATAATAGGCAACCCTAAGGTTAATTGGCTGCCACCATTGCCAAGTGCAAGAAAGGAAGCGGAGATGGTCGGACGACTGGTGGGTGTTCTGCCTCTGGTAGGAGAAGAAGCAACGAAGCAGGCGGTGCTTGAGCGGATAAGTTCAGTGAGCCTGATTCATTTTGCTGCCCATGGTGACGCCGAAAGGGGAGAAATTGCCCTCTCCCCATCCCTAGTACTTCCAACAGGCGAAACGCTATCTTACCACATGAAGATTACATGTTGACGATGGCTGATGTATCACGAGTGAAAGTCAGAGCTAAACTGGTGAAACTTAGCTGCTGTCACAGTGGAAGAGGTCACATTAGAGCCGAGGGAGTCATAGGAATTGCCCGTGCGTTCTTAGGATCCGGTGCTCGCTCGGTGTTGGTTGCGCTGTGGGCCATTTCAGACTCAGGAACAGAGCAGCTGATGAGTCGGTTCTACGAACACCTTGTAGAGGGAGAAAGTGCCAGTGAATCCCTCCATCAGGCCATGAAGTGGATGAGAAAAAGCAAGTCTACCAGTGTGTCTGAGTGGGCTTCGTTTACGCTGATTGGAGATGATGTGAGACTCGGGTTTGACAAGCACAGGTAAGACTCAGTCCGAAAAGATATTTCACAAATTAAAGTCTAAGTAGATGTGAAGGTAGCTGTGATTTACTGGTCGGTGACTGTCGGCGGGGGTCCTTTGTTACCATCAAGGGTAGTTCGGTATATATCCATATACATATATTTTTTTTCTTTTCTTTTCGGAGAGTTACTATCGACGCTCTCTGGTGTAAATATAGAATCTCGAAAGGGCCTCTCTGCCAATCACATACAAGTGCTAGCCATTTATATTTTTAGATATTGAGCTTGGTATAATTGTATTTGCTTCATATCCAAAATATTAATCGAGTTAATAATAAATTGCTGTTTTTTTTTCACTTTGTTTACAGAGAAAGAGACCCCGACAGAGTAAATAATGAGAATCACTCGAAGGAAACAGAGCCAAAAGACTTTTAGATGCATAAATTGAATAGAGCAAAGTAGAGAACATACTTTATCCGGTATTTCATTGAAATTAAAAAAGGAGCTATCCCAAATTAGATCTAGTTCAATTTTTTGTGCTTTCTTTTTCAATATTGTTTAAAGAAAAAATTTGTATCTATCAAGTTTTTTTTTTACTTATTTAAACGTTGAAAATGAATGGAAATAGTATATTAGCATAAGCCATTCAGAAAAAAATTATAATAAGCCAGTTGATCATTTCTTATTCCTTTTTATCTTACAGGTATAATTTAGCACGCTTGACACCTCTTTTTCATAGGGGTGACTTAAGGTGTAAACAAGTGGTAGTTTTCATCCTCCGCACTGAATTTTAATCAGGTAATTTATATGAATAGCACGTAGCTCTTTTAGGGGCATTACCTCGGGTACGCCCTTTCTTGTCCGAATTTTCTGTTTATTGTGCTGTTATATAACAGTCTTCGAGGAGTATTTCCTCTTAAGATATATTTTCAAGTATGATTCTAATTCTGTTGGTTATTCCATTACAATTTTTATATTATCTTGTTTTAGTTATGACCAACCTTGACTGTAAGACTAAGAAATTTAAGAATTTTGTAAAGCGTAAACATCTCGAAGGTATCTACTTAGTATGCGAACTCCACTCTGCGTAGCTTAACGTGATTCGCTAGTTAAGTGTAAAAGGATGACGAAGGTTAGAGATTGGCAGCTCAGTAAGCGTCCCTTTTATAAGTGGAGACCCACACTTTTCTTGTTAGATCTGAGTTAGTCCCGAGGTAATAAGTTGTATGTAAGAAAGAGAAGAATAAAGAAACCTTCAACTGAACAACGCAAAAATTATATTTCCAATATCACAAGCACAGAAAAACGTTGACGTAAGTAAGGCTTTAAAGTAAAGCGAAATCAGTAAAGTTAAAACAGTAGTTTAGATATAAAACGAACCACTACAATCTGACTAAATTTTTTTTTCAAAGCCTTTTGTAAGGTTTAGTTAACAAAATCTTCAATATTTGAGGAATAAATTTGATGTAGCATCTTAAAAGATCCTTTTCAACCACTCCTCTTCCAAAATATATCCTGATCAAAACTAATCTATGAAGACAGAAGTTTAAAATCGCTTCCGGATGGCAGGAATGTCATGCAGGCTCGTCAATACTTCAAGTTTTAACTGATCACTTGCCTCTTGTGATATGTGAAACAAGAGACGAACAAAACGTATTGACTATCGTACTGATTAGCGATCGGTCAGCGTTTTAACGAGCAACTCTCTTTTAAAGAAATGATTTGTGTTCTTTCCTATTTGAGTTTAGAGAGCTTGAGCTATTTAAACCTGTATGAACATTTCAGGACCAAACTACAGGGAGCCATTGATATAGAACAGTCAGAGTTTGCTCAACAGACTAATTTGCATGATTCATCTGTGACGGTAGCAAAATCACTAAAAATTTGAAGTCACTGCGGCGAAGGAAATTAACAAACGCAAGATTTTTTTGTATTTCTATGCTTTCGAACATCTTATTAGAAGAAATCAACCGGACTTTTTAATGTCTAAAGTCACCCATCACCCCACAGAGACCCTCTTCTAAACCAAACAAGTTAAAAAATGTTTGCTCACAGCTTGCTTTCATTCGTCGAGGTTGCGCAAATATTGAAGCGATGGTTATATAATACAATGCTACGAGTTTTGTCTCGTGATCTGATAAATCATGTATCTTGGCTCGATTACAACTGAGTCAATGTTACAACTGTGTTATTCACTGAGGTTGCACCAAGAGTATTGCAAAGTTGAAACAAGTTTCCTCACCGCCGGCCTAGTGTTGGATCAGAAAAAACGAACAGTGTTATTCAATATTCTGTTGGGTTTGTTTTTTTTTTCTCTTGTTTTTCGACCATTATAAGCAAGTGCCACATGAAAGTCTTTTCACTTTTCGAATCATCTCTCAAAGATCCAAATAAACTAAATCGAATTTTTTTACGCATTTATGGAATTCATAAAAAAAAATTTAAAAACAAAATTTTTAAAAAAGAGAGTAGGTAGTTACGCCCTGGCGCGCGCAATTACGGACTTTCACTTTTAGGGCTTGTTTACATGTAGGTGGGGGACCCCAGGTAGGTGAAGTAACCCGCCTGTCCGTATAATTTCTTATTTTATTTCAATCACGTTTACATGATAGGTGGGTTGACCCGCCTAGGCGGGTTTCCCGGTCTGCCAGGTAGGGTAACCCTGTCAGCCGGGGTGACAAAAACGTCTCAAGGTGGGGCAACTCCCCTAGCCGAGGTCGCGTTCATGGCAAAAAGCTCAAAAGTGAAACACGTGTTTTAAAAACTTTGTACATTTCCTAACCGTCTCATGGCAGAAATCACCAGAAACCGCAACGGACACTCAAGTAGTGTAAAGTGTCCACATTTCGGAATATTTAGCGTTGTAAATCGACCATATTTCAAACTATTCCTTATAACATATTAAGTCAATGGTTCCTCGCGTAACCTAACACCGCGTGACACAAAGCGTGACGCCTTTATGAATAAATACACACGTGTCCGAAAATTAATCTTTCGTCTTTCTCTTTTTTTGCTCAACCTCCCTATTTGAAAGCGCAACAAAAACCTAAAGAAACCTTACCCCAGCACCCCGGGGTTGTAAGATTGTATGTTAACGCGTTTTACTTTTCGACCAAGGCTAGGCGGGTTACCTCACCCCTTATTAGTGTTCAAATGATTTAAATGTGACTGACGTTATATGTTTAAAACTTTTAAACGGCGTTTCTTTCCCTACAAACCATCATCAACAGCCAGTAGTCACGTATCCTTTTTAGCGGCCTCACTAACAATTCCTTTTTTTCCACTTCAAGAACGAAATCAAAACTTAAACCACAATTTTTTTGGACACGATTTATCATCGACACCACGCACGTTCTTTTAGGGTGGACGCAACTTGGTAATGGCACGACATCTTTTGATGTTTTATTTTCATGATAACTTTCTGTCGACTGTTTTATTCGAAATAATTTCACATACGCTTTAATTTTTCAGTACATCAAAACACAAAATTAAGTTGACTTGGTCGTAAATTTACATACGACGACTGAATTCGCGAACATGTTCATTTCATGCACGAACTAACTCATAAATGACGGTGTAAAATATATAAAAAATTAACGCCGCAAAGAGGTATTTGCACTTAAAATTTTAAGTGCTTTTGAGATTTTCTTTCAACTAGAAAATAACCTTATTTACAAATGCCCCTTCTTTTTGTATCGATGTAGGAACTCACAACTTTTCTTTGATTAACAAGAATAGGACAGTGGAATGTAAATACGTTTTTATGGGTATAATATTATGTTTGATTAAAATATCTAATGCACTTGGCTTGATTACATCTAAAATTATAAAAAGAAGGCTGCACAAGGTTATCTTAAAGTACAAACTAGTTTATTGCTTGCCTAACCAACTATCTCTCTGAGTAAATTGTAACAAAATTTGGGTTATTTTCATTGATAGTCATCCTGAGTGCAAAATCGTGCGTTTTCCTTGTAAACTCCTCAGGGCAAATGGCGTCATGAGCTGTCAAAACATCAATACTGTCACAAAATCTTTGTTAATTAGATGACATGGATGATTGAGATTAAAAATAAATTACCACGAGTTTTATCCTGTTTCTTTGAAGACTTTAAACATTTAAAAGCATATTTATCGGCCGGTAGTATTGCAACTTGGATCTCGACAAAAGGATCGACAGAAAATTCTATTTAAGCCATCGATCAATTCAAGATCTTTACACTGGAATGATGTTGTTTCATTTGATGATCATTTATTTCGTTTCCTTTTCGACCTCAGGGTATTTTTAACCTTAACACCACTGAATGAATTTAAGTTTACCTTAGATTTTTGGCTGCCCATACATACATCCTACTCAAGAAATCTTTAGAACCGAAAAATATTTAGAACGGATGGGTTCTTGATTTATGGGATATCAGTGACTGACTTTGTCAAGAGCTTCAAATTTCTTGGTAAAAGGTCTGGATAGAAGCAGATATGTAGCGAACCTAAGAAAATTAACGACACTTTCAAAATTAACAAGATTGTTTGTTTCTAATCTCCGAGAGCAGGGGGGTGGATCAGCGACGCTTCAGAGTGTTGGACGTGGATGCAAAAGGCAATCTATATCTTAACAAGACGTTGCTGCTCTGCAAGAACGAAATCATCAAACGATTGAGAAATGGGACGTACAGTTTGGCAGAACAGAGCAAAATAGGTGTGACATTTCTCTTTTATTTTTAAAGACATCGGTATAAACTTATTAGAAGAGAATCTCGCCAAGAATATCAGCACGTATTTATTTCACCTCACGCCCTTGCATTTCACTCTCATACATACATTGTGATATTGTCGCGATTTGGATTTTAAAGTAGGTGTCTCTTACGCAAGAATTACAACATATATCTTTAGTGTACCTTCAAATAGATTTAATATTATTGACTTGCCTTTTCATAATCTTTTTCTAAATATTTCACAACGGGTAGCTTAGTGATGTTCTTTGACTAAATGATACCTTTTTTTTTTTTTGGACTCAAAAGGATTCTCGAAGGACTTTGCAGCTCTAACTTGCAAGGAGCTCAAACAGAAATTACCATCAGTCGTGTCAGGCGTCTATTGGATAGACCCTAATGGTGGTTCCCACAGTAATGCTTTCCAGGCCTACTGCGACCAGCTTACGGACGGAGGGGGTCTTACCTTATAAGATTACTCACATTTCACAGCTGCATCAAACGCTGTCGTTCCGCGTCCATCCTGGTCAGCCTGCGGCTCCAACATCCAAGTGTCCAAAACGGTTCCACTAGGCGAGACGCATTATGAGGCCATGGACTTTTCTTTATGGCGTAGCATTGGTAAGGAAATACTAATCAAGAGCAACATCAACAACTGGTTCGCATGCAAGGAAGGCACTGGTAGCATAGTGAAACAGAAGAAGGGATCGATCCACTGTAAACTGGTCAAACAGGTTGCTAAGAACTGCGGTGGAGCAGTACCAAAATCCTGGAAGTTTCATGCGAATGGACCCTCCTTTAATGGAGGAGGTCAATTTTATTACTTTGATGGGAGCAAAAGTAGCCACTGGCCCACTCATGATTCTTGTGGTACAAATCGAGCAGACCAGTTGAAAAACGTGCCAAACCCACACGGAAACATTTTTATTCGTTGAAAGCATATGAGAGTTTTTCAGCGCTTAAGGGTGTTTATTTTGTAAGTGGCATCTATGAAAATTTCTGCTCAAAGTTTCAAAGGTAATAAAGATGGATTCTTGATTTATGGGATACCAGTGACTGACTTTGTCAAGAGCTTCAAATTTTTAGGTAAAAGGTCTGGATAGAAGCAGATATGTAGCGAACTTAAGAAAATTAACGACACTTTTAAAATGAAAAAATATGTTTCGACAGTTCTTCTGTCATCTTCTGTTCATAATGATACAAAGTACAAAGTTGAATTTAGAGTTTGTAACAAAATTCTGATTGGACAAAACAAACAATAGAAACAGAACAATGTATGCATTTACAAGGAAAGTTTTAAATTAACATAGTTGGACCAACGAGAGTTCATAGGATGAAGAAAACCCACCGCGCACGTGGCGGTTGTCAGTCGGTCAGGGAATTTAGATAAGAGATAGCGGTTTCATCGGAAAGTACTGAACTGTAAAGTTTATATAAAAATACACTGAAGTAAAATAAAAAAAATATTTTTTCGACTCTTTAGCGTCATATGATTTCTAAGCGCCATTAGGTCACTTCAAACATTTCAGGGAGGGGGGGGGGGGTGAGGGAAATATTTTTTAATCATTTCTTTTTTTATTTGCTTTACCAACTTATCTCATACCTCTCTTCATTTTACGAGCAGCAAACGAAAAAATCAGGAATTTTTGATAAAAACAAAAAACATTCCTTTCCGTACAAACTATCAGTAATGCCCAGTCGCGTATCTTTTAGCTTACGCCCACCATGTCATTACGCCATGTCATCCAAGCGAACGCACCCTGGAACTCAGAAACAAGACAAAATCTTAGGTTTGTTGATGCCTTACTCAGCCAGAATAAGAATATTTGTTTCATGCTTCGTGTGTGGGTTGTTTTGTAGTGGAGGTAACCTTCAGACGCTACTGTCACAAGGGGAGGGGGGTGGGGCACGCATCGCATATCAGCGATGAATAAGCCTGGCATTCAGCGGCGATTAGTTAAATGCTTCCTGCTGTTATTTTACTGATATTGGGACTAGCTCTGGCAATGGCCACTCACTCAGTTCTTTGGACCATTGATTCAAATGTTTACATTGCATAAGCCCATCCAGGGCGTGAAATTATGTTTTTTTTTTCTGATAGCCACTTGGCTTCTAAATTCTTCAAAGTGGTAACCGATTCAAAAAACGTTGATCGTCATTTTCAAAGACAAAGAAAACGTTTTTTTAACGCTGTCAGCGTTGTAGATAGACCCTCCAAAAATTAAGTTTTAACGTGCTATAAAGTGGACACTAGGATGGATGATATACAACGTTCAAGCTCACCTAAATACAAGATGGCGTCTAGGTATCGATCGAGATGTGCTGCGCGCGTTTTGGAAACAAACTTAACGAGGAAGTTTGCCGCGTTTTCTCAATTTGGCGACTAATTTCAGGATTTGGTCGTCATAGTGAAAAATTTAGTCGCATTGGCGCTTGTATCAGGCGCAATTTCACACCCTGCCATCTCAAGAGTTGTAATTTTTATGTCTTTTAGATTTCTTGAACTTGTTGTCGGCCACTCAGCCTTTGCAAAAGTTTTTGAAGGAGGAAATGAGAGTCTTACAGGTATTTGGCCACGATCTCTGTAAGTGTGGGTGATTTTTCCCCCAAAATTTGTAAAATGGCATACCATGGCAAAACGACACTTGGTTTAAACTCCATAGTAGGTATATGTTTCATAAAATCAACAATTACTATTTTCATCTTTAGTGGTCATAAATGTTTTTAAGACAAAATCAGTTGACACAACATCCACTGAGCCACTTCCAAGGAAGTATGTAGAAATGGAGTAGAAAAAGTGAACTGTAATTCACTGCAATAAGCTCTTCCACCAGTCAATGTTGTAGAATGGTGTAAAACAATTAAAGAAACATTGTACATGAAAAGAAGAGTTGAAAATAAGGAATATAATTGGTGTGCTATTCCAGAATATTGTCATTCCAATGATAATTTGTTGACAATTTTCTTGCAGATTGTATGTATATGACTGGGGGAATGCTTTTGGAACAGCATGTCTGTTCCAACTTGGCAAAACTAAGTTTAATAATCATTTTTAAACTTCTTGCTCTGAGTAATTGATTGGCCTGGCTTTTCAACTCAGAGACCATTGGCTAACTGTTTGTCTGTGGCATCTCTCATGCTCACTTACAGTGTAGTGTATGAACACTTTTTTTTTTATCACATAGCTGCCAGCTAGAAGCAAAGTGAAAAAAGGTCTTATAACAAGTCTATCACAAGATGTGGATGATTTCAGGCATCATAGTCACAAGGTACAAAATGTTCCATGGGTTTTTTTTGTTTTGGTTTGATTTTTTTTTATCTAAGAAGTCTTTATTTAGTTAAATTGTGATATCACTGAATCATTGTTTTTCAATAACATTCAGTGTATGTCTCATTCAGGGCTGTAAATATGAATAATTGTAGTTTGAATTATAGCATACAGAGAGACTGTTTTAACCCTTCACACCCTAACATCAGTATGCATATTCTCCATACTGTTCTCTGAACATTTCCTAAGATGCCGACACAGAGAATTTGTCTAACAATCAAGAGCTTCTTTAGTCTGTGATCAGCTCCTTAATTCTCCTGACCTTACTGTTTGATTCAAGGGGGATATGGTAAGGAGAAATTAGATGTCAGTCACTCCTAGGGGTAAAACTGCTGAATGCTTGGTCCTTCCTTATCAGTGTTAGACTCCTTGCAGGCCTCTCAGCAGCTCGTGTAGATCTAGGACTCAATCTTTCCTGCAGGTGAAGAAACACTTTTGCCAAAGTGCAAATAACAAGACTGTGCTCACTGATGACCTAACTTTCTTTTGAATTTAACCTTCCCAGAAATACAAATAAGCGGAAGTTATTCCTCTTGCTTAGGATCTTGGAAGAATTTCAGAAGAAAAGAGATTTTGTGGAACAGTACACACCACTTACCAAGGAGACATATGGGGTCAGTAATAGTAATAATAAACCACCAAAAATTATTAAAGCGCTGCATCTTCCAGTGCTCATCAGTAATTCTCCTTGCTGTCTGTCTTGCAATTCTTGTGATATTAGTTTGGAGAATATGGTGTTGGATCAGCCGATAATACTCTAATTGATATTTTTCTTTACTCTCATCACTTGTCTGCTTGATATTGTACTATTATTGAAAGGAGAAATTATATCTTTGTCAGTCATGGGAATTTAAGGGTTGATGACAAAAATACTTACCTCTCATCAAGTTTAATCTAAACCTGTATTCTGCACCATGCCAAAAAAAGACTGAATTCCCAAATGCCACATCAGTAGGAAGTTGTGTTAATTAAGCCACATTACATTGCATAAGAAAGTGAATTTCAATTATTTTATCTATGGTAGATTAATGAATGATATATTATACTTTTTAACTTTTTATATTAAGAGTGTTTCAACATTAGTTGTTGGTGTTTGGCTGATCTAAGTGTAGCCATCAATCTATAGATTCCTTCAATTAATCTTTTTGTTTCTATATGTGTTTTGTAGAACTTTACCAAAATGGTGCACAGTCAGCAAGGTATGTAGCAATGTCTCTGTACTGCAATGTGTTAAATCTTCTTTATCATTGTTAAAAGTGAGATAGCAAAATTCATATGATAGCAAAGAGATACTAGAAGTATTATTAATTTAGTATTGTAATGTATCAGGATGTTTCAAAATTTCAGCTTTCCTCTTGTGGGCAGGGATAGGGAAGGGGAAAGGAGGTGACTTTTTTGGGGGGGTGGGGTGAGATGAAGGCATTATCACAGCTGAGAGACAAGCTCAGGATTGCTGTGCATCTAAAAAAGAAAGAAAAGAAAAGCCAAAAATAACCAAACATCAACAAAAAGTCATCAGTCAGACTGTTGACCGATCTATTTCCTGTTTCCCAAAAGGTTTGCAGGTCATGGCTTGAACGAGAAGACTGGGTTCTACCCCCTCTATCTCTATCGCATTCAATTTTTTTTAAAGTCATTTACAAGTATGTAGCACAAGGGCATGGTTATCTGAAGAAAAAGTGCCCTTTAGAGTAATTTGCATTTCATTTTCGTACTGCCAGGTGAAAGGGAAGGGAAAACTTGTAAGCAAAGACTGGAATGGTGGAATGGAAACATAAACTAACTTGGGCTGGTTTTTTTAATTTACAATGGTTCACAATATAATTGAATTTGGAATCATTAAGTACAGATGAGCTGGAATGTGTGACTTTCAGATTGCAATTCCAGTACCCTAACCTTGAAAACTCATTTGTTTTTTTATTAGCCATTTCCTCTTGCTGTCCTTAAATGGTAATTTGAACTGTCTAATGCACTTGTGTTTTCCATTTCTTACCCTGTAGGAGATGCTTTTTCTGTTGTACATGTAAACTGGTTGAGTTTGAGAATGCCACAAAAGCACTGGAAAAAGCCAAACCCAAGAACCAAGAAATGGTGAGGTTCTGACAAACATGTGCTTTGCACGTGATGCACATTACTTTGGTACCTCTCTCTAATTTTGTTATGTACATGTGATTGAGTGTTTTCTTTTACATGATTCATGTAAGGCTGCACCTAGCAAAAGACTCAAAGTTCAAGTTGAGCCTCTGAATAATGATGATGAATGCCAGAATTGAAGAATCCTAAATTGTTTTGCACTTTTTTTTTTTTGTTATTTTCAACTTCAAGAAGGCACAGACGATGTAGAGGAAGTATACAATTCAATTTCAGAAGCTGCAAAGAAAGAGGTGAATAAAATTATTAAAAAAAAAAGCCTTTTGTTTTACTTAGACTTTCTTACTGTTTAGCTGGAAAGTTATGCATGCTGCCCTTATCTGGTTGCATTTCTCAGTGTGTTTTACAGGCAGACCAACCTATTGTTGGTGTACATGTAAGACACATGTCAAATGATTATATGAATGTTTGTGCTGTTTTCATGTCAAAATCTGAATATTAAAAAATTAGTTTATACCACACAAGTTTATAGTGCCTTTCACACATGCTGATTGGCTAACTAGAAAGTGATTAGCAAGTACTATTTACCTCCGAGAAGCCAAAGAGATAAAATTGCACATCAACAAATATTTTCAGATCATATCTGGTGGTTTGATGATGAGTTCTTTGTGCTGGCTAAATAAACAGAGGGGAAATGGCTGATAATATAAGTAATTGTCACGTGGCTCTAACTGCAGCAGTTAATGTGCTTACTCAATTCATTTTAATTTTTGTTTGTTTTTTTGTTTTTTTTTGTAATATAGATGATCCGTTACAATAGGCAAAAGGTGTTGAGCCTGCAAGCTGGTCTTATCCAATATGCTGAATGAAGAATGGAAGAGATAACTATGCCATTTTGGCC